ACCAAGTCCAAAGAGAGATATGATTGGCATGCCAAAGACCCCAGAGGCCAGAATTCTTACTTCTACTGCAAGGAATTCGCGCCGAAAGGCATTAAAACTTTGGCTCCAACAGGGGCCCCGACAGGGGCTCCCACCTTGCCTCCAACGCAGGCTCCAACSTCGGCCCCAACAAAGAAGGTACCCAACGTGGGTGATATTTCCTACGACTTTCCCTCCACGACTAAGGATCTTTTGCACGGATTTTGCGTTAAGGGAGCGACTTCCGCTGCAGGGATCGATGCCACCTCCTCCGACAAAGGTCTTACCTACAAAACCATCCCAAACTTCAGTGAGAAGACCAAGCTATTCGGTGACAGAACTTACCTACCAGTGTTCTTGAACAAACAAAAGTGCGAGGGCGGAATTTACGTACAGCCTAGGAGGGCTGTTACAAAGAAGGGTGTAGCCATTTCCCTAAAAGTTGCGGCTGGAGGGCCCGTCACCATCTGCGCCTTCGTCGAAAGCAACGCCAATGAGCGCGACGGAGGTTGGCCCGAATCTCTGAAGAAAGATGGCTTTACGGCCTCAAAGCCATTCGACTTTGCACATTCGGTACCCTCTAAAAATCTTGCTACGTTCTGGTGCAAGGAATATGGGGTGGGACCTGTCACTGACGCACCAACGCTTGCACCCACTGCTTCACCCACTGCTTCACCCACTGCTTCGCCCACTGCTTCGCCCACGGCAGATCCAACCGTGACACCACCATTCGCGGGCATTGTTTCCTACGAATTCCCGGCCACAGAAACAACAGACTTTTTGCATGGATTGTGCGTCAAAGGAGCAGCTTCTCCCAAAAAGATTGCTGTCACCTCCAACGACGAGACGCTGAGCTACACCAAGATCCCTAAATTCAAAGAAGGGACAAAGCTCTGGAGTAAATTCAAACAATTTGTCGGACCCCTGGGCAAAGACATGTGCCTGGGAGGGACCTATCTGCAGCCGAACGAAATCAGACTGATCCCAAAGGGAACAAAGATTTCCCTCGAGGCCCCGGCAGGTTTTGACAAGCCCGTCACTATCTGCGCCTTTGTTGAAGCCAATGGTCCCAAGCGCGATGGTGGCTGGCCAGCTCCCCTGAAAGATGACGGCTTCAAAGTTTCGGAGCCTTTCGATTGGGCATCAGGAAACGAGAAAGACAACCTTGCTAGGTTCTACTGCAAGGAATTTACGGTGGAAGAACCGGAAGACGAACTGGATCGATTCGAGCTCTTTGCGGTCGGAGACGGAAATAAGAAGCCCTACGGAAAGCTAGAAGCCACCAGTCCGCTCACGGCCAAGGTGTTCTTCGAGGCACATCCGCAGCAGTTCATCAAGAAAAATAGCGTCGTCGACGTCGCGCTGTATGCGAAGGTCCCGAAGGGCAAGTCCTGCGACAAGGGAACGCTCCTCTCCTCCGCCGATGGATACGATGTCGAAGTCGGCGAATTATTTGAATACCCCGAGTACAACAAGTTGTACGGGGGGAAGGGTCCAAAATTTCCAAGCACGAGCAACGGATTGATCGGTAAGCAACGCAATATAGCACCACAAAACCAACTCTTGCCCCCACACCCTAGGTGCAACGGTGGTCCGTAGTTGATTGGTTCGTTTGTTTGTATTCACGTATCACTCACACATCGTTCTTCCTCTCGTCCGTTCTTCCTTCGGAACCGATGACAGGTGCGGCCGAGTTCATCATTAGTGATTTCACGGCTCCTTCTGGAGACAGCCAGATTTACTTCCCCGGAGTAGGCGACGGAGACGGGGAGATCAATCTCTGTGTTCAGGTCTCTACACAGATAGATTACCGTGGCAACGGCAAGAAGGATATCGTCTCGCGCATCGACACCCACTACGCCGTGTCTGTGGACTTGACTGGTGACTTCGAAAAATTCGAGCAGACGGTCAAGATCCAGTCTACCGATGCCAGCGATCTCAAAGATCAGATCCAATCCGCCGTCGACGTTACTGCTTTCCTCTGTAAAAAGGGCAACAAGCCGATCGAGGAAATCACGTTCCGAGAGGGAGAGGACTTCCGCATCTGCGTCCAACCCGTCGTGGAGAAGGATACCCGCCTCGACTACTCGGTGGTCAAGTTCGACGAGGTCGTGTGCTCAAATAAGGCCGAGATCCGAGACGTCATCACGAAAAAGGGACCGGACGCACTCACACTGGTTGATAAGGCCCCGGACAAAAAAGGCACCCTCGGGTTTGCGTCCGTGGTCACCAACGGGTATCTCTCCAAGAACGAGGACTCCTTCCTCTGCGCCGGAAAGGTCACCCTGCGCAGCAAACAGAAACCGCAAATTCTTCCGGGACGTGCGCTCCGATCGGAGGAGACAGTTGCGGAGTTCCTTATCCAGCGCAGGGCGGAGGAAGAAGCCGCCGACGACGAAAACAGCGAGGGTGGGGTCTTTGGCCTCGGGATCAAGATCGCTCCTCCTACCGACGAGGACGCGGCCTATTCCGCCCCGGCATCGGTCGCATCCCCGGTCTCGATGTTTGCTCTTGCGGTGGCTTCGATGGCAATGACCCTGTGGTTCTAAACAGACACAACATTGTTTGTGGTATAACACTGGGCACGGAACAAGTATGAGTACTACCGTGCACCACGTTATGGTTGCCGCTGTTGTTTTTATTTTTCATTATACATTACTACCAATATTTCACAAGTCTAATTTGAACAGATAATTTTAAAAATTTAAAAATTCAGTTATTTTTCAAGATCCGTCAAAAACCCCAAATTCAATTTTCGTAGCCGGGAAATCTGAGGAACAGTGCAGTGGGTGTAGCAGCGCAGTTAGCCAGCGTACGTACGATATCCCAACAATAAATGTGGCATAGGCATACGTACCAAGTACGTACTAGTATAGTAGTACTTCTTAACATAGTCCTGCATCATTTCAGAGCATTAGTTTATGTACTGTAAGTACGGTACTACTTGTACCGTTTAAACGGGTGAAGAATGAAGAATCAATAATCGTTTTCATGCAAAATGTAATCCGCTAACAGATGCCCCCACAATGCTCATTCTGCTTTTTCCTATAGCAAAACACGGAGAAGTCCAACCACTCCACGCCATCGTAGCGAGCATGAACCAAAACAAGAACAACAACTACAGCATGGCAGGAACCCTAGCAATCACGGGGATCACCATTTGTGCCACCGCCCTCGGCTGGACCATCGCGAAACGAATCCGTTTCGTTCGCGGCTACTGGAAGACCTGCAAGGCCGAAATCCTCACCGATGCGCACGGGGTAAAGTGCTCTTCCTGGCTCGCCGGTGGCGGTGATTCGAACGCGGATGCGGGCGACGCGGTGCCCTTGTCCACCGCCTCCTGGTTTCGCGTCAACGACGTCATCATGGGGGGCAGATCGACCTCGGAGCTGTCCACCGACGAAAAGGGCAGGCTGGTCTTCTCCGGGAACCTCAGCACCGTGGGGGGCGGCTTTGTCTCGGTGCGGACCACCGAGGACTGCCCGGTCCGGATCCGAAACCCGGAGGGCGTTTCTTCCGTGAGGGTCTCCCTTTCCGGAGACGGGCAGCTCTGGAAGGTGAACCTAGGAACCTCCCATTCGCTCCTGTCGGCCGATCCGACCTGGAGCCACGACGTTCCTACCGAGTCGGACGCCCTCACCACCCACACCCTTCGCCTCTCGGACTTTACGGCGACCAAGCGGGGCCGTCCCGTAAAGGGGGCCGTCCTCGATCCCTCGGCGGTGTGCTACGCCGGCCTGATCCTGTCGCTCTACACGCAGACCGGGGAGGCCAACCCGCGATTCGGCGACGGGCCCTTTCGGGTGGTCCTCCACGAGCTCGAGTTTGTGTGAGCGAGTGCGGGTGAGTGCGGCTGCAAGCAGACAGGGAACCGTGCGGCACCGGTTTTGCTTGGCTTGGCTGCCGCTGTCTCGTGTGGAGATGTGTTCTGTTCTGTTCTGTTCTGTTATCCGTGTGCGCAATCCAATGGTTTCACGGCAACGAATGCACGCCTTTCCATGGAACGGAAAAACCATGCCCCGAAGAAGATGTCGAAAGCACAACGCGCACTCATCGGAACAAAACAATGCGAAAACAAAACCACCAGAAACCGCCATCCCACGGAATCGTTTCTCTCATCGGCAACCACTATCGAAAGAGTGGCTTACATTTGTTGCGGATCTGGCTAACTCCAAAGCAGAGACGCACGATTGCCGAAAGGTTGCACAAACGACGTGGTTCACCTGCGGAATTCTCAAGTTCTAGAGCATTCGCTACCAAAAGAAGAAAACCCTGAACGCACAGTACACAAGGAATGACACCGGGTACTTTATTCATCGAGAGATTCATTTATTTTAACCAAGTAAGGACACATATAATAAGAAGAATGGTGGGCTGCAAAATTGTTGTAGGTCGTCGGCCCCGATACAATCGTTCGTTCGTTCCCCCGGTTTTTAAAAACTTTTTCGCTTTTTCGATCGATCGATCGGATGGCTCGAATTCCTAGTACGTACTCGTGTGTGACACACTGCCACGGTTGCCTGTTGGTCCCCACAACGAGTTTCGCCGATTGCTTGCTAGGATCACTCTCCACTTTCGACCCTAAGCTGGTGCATGCGTTGCAATGCAATGAAACGCATGGATCCGGGACGGATTCCACTCGGATCGATGCTTGGCGATGCCCAGTTTCGGCAGGCGGTGGATTTGAATTTGTAAACGGTGTGGTTTTGTTGCGGAAACCACCGCTGCGTAGAGGACAACGACAGAAAGAGGTGCGAAACAACACGAGACAAAGCAACGGGCCGGGCTATGTGGTTTCCTTCGCAAGGGCAGCTTCCTCCGAATCGAACAAGGTAGCGAAATCCATGTCAATGTCGTCCAGGCCCGATCCCAGCATCGCACCGGCGCTGTCGACGTCTAGGTTCCAGTTGATGCTCTCCATGTGGGGGACGCCCCCGTTCGTCGAAGAGAGAGCGGTGGGGTTCGGCACGGCTTGTCTCTGTGCCGTCGCGTGGCTTCCATCGTTCTGGGCGGAGAACGACGACAGTGGCACGGCGGAAGCGGGCCCGATGCTCGGAACCGACATTCCGCCCAGGGCCGGGGGTGCCTTCAGGACCTGCCCGGAGGGCTGCGCGTAGCCTACCGTGTTGTCCGCCACCAGACCCGCGGCGGCCAGCGAACTCGCTTGCTGCTCCCGGTCCGCGAGGTCCGTCTGGAGGCGCACCTGCTGCTCCGGCGTGAGGTTCGTCGCGTATGTGGCGGTGGCGTTCTTGGCGGCGGCCCCGGCGCTGTTGTTCATGAGAATCCCCAACCCGGTCTGGGGCTGGGCGTTGGCGCTCTGGGGATTCGCGTGGGCATCGCTTCGGAAGTGGGCCTGGCGTTGCTCGCCCTGGCTCTGGGGTTGCCTCGAGCTGTGGTTTCGCGTGGAATCGAGAGAAGAGAAGGGAACCGAAAAACGACAAACGTGAGAAACCCGAAAACTGCATGGGCACGACCAATCCAATCATGACAATACACGTCACGAGTCCAGCTAAAAACAAAGCGTACTACGTACCTCAGAACGAGATTGGTGGGCGGCTGGCCCGCTGGAGAATCCAGGACGAGGGAGCCTGGGGAAGCCTGTGGGGACAATCCCGGCGTCGTCAGCGGCGACGCATTGGCGCTCCTCGGTCCCGATCGGGGCGACGGCTTCAGCTGCGGCGATCCGGATCCTTTTTGCTTCGTTCGCTTCATCTGTAGGCACCGATCGGGATGATCTCGGTGGAAGGATTCGTGTCGGTAGGCACCCGCATCGGGGCCCTTGGTCACACGACGAAACCCATACAAGTTGAGCTGCCGCTGGAATGAGGTCAGTTTCGTGTGACGAAAGTACCGCGGCAAGATGTCGGTGACGAACAAATCGGGGTCCCGCACCATAAATGCATCTCCCTTCGGAAGCCAGCAGACCACATTGGCATCCTCCTTGCTCAGCATCTCCATGAGCTTGCGCGGAAACGGATTGGAGTGCCCCGTGGAGGAACTAGATCCCGCCGACGTTGCGGACAGGGCGGGCGAGACCGATCCTCCCCGACCACGGTTCTGCGATCGTGTCATGGAGTTCGATCGGTTCAGATTGGGACTTGTTCCAAAGCCTGCTCCTGGACTCGTTGACAATCCGGGCTGCATCTTGATGACACCCGCCGCCATGCCGCCAGCGACGGGGACCAGAACGGCCGGTGGCGGTGGCGGTGGTGCTGCGACTGGGTGTGATGGCGGTGTGACGGCCTGAGCCCCGACCTGAACTTGCTGCTGGTGATGCTGCTGCTGTTGTGGATCAAGATCGTTAGCAGTCCCGTTCTGTGCTCGGTTGAAGCTCTCCCGCAGCGAGTTCTGGTGGAAGGCGTTGACGGGATGCGGCATTGGCAGTGGGGCTGGTGCCTGCAATGGATTTTGCCGATTGGCAGCCGCCTGGAATCCGGCCAGGTACATGGCCCGCAGTTGGTCCCTCGGATCGGGGGCGCTCTTGTTTCCATTGCTGTTCTCTTCGCCCTTGCCGTGCCTTGATAGCAATTCATTGAGCTTTGCGTCCATGTCGTCCCGAATGGACGACTGGAGGGACGACATGTCCATGGGGTCCATGCTGGGAACGCCCGGATTCAAAATACTCGTCGAGGAGTGTGCCGGCTGACTCCCAAGTGATGGCGGCGGGCCGTGCGATGACAGGGCACCAAGTGAGTGGGACGAGGGCAGGATTGCGGGGGGATGAAGGGAGCTTGGTGAACCGTGGTGCAAAGACGACAGCGAGGCGTTAGAGGGGTGCAGGACCTGGGATCCCAGCGATCCAGAGGAATGGTGCAGTACCTGCCCCCCCAATAGGGAGGGAGGGGCGTGCTGGGAATGCGTGGTAGAAGCGGCAGCCTGGGCGCTGCTCAGGGAATTCGACGAAGAGGAGGGGTGCATTGCCTGGGCGCTCAGCGATGCGGAAGATCCGGACGGAGCCAGGAGACTCGGTTGGCGCAGGGGTGCCGTCATGGCGGGCAGGTTGGGAGCACTTGCGCTCGGAGATATATGCGTCCGCGTGTTGGAGGCCGATCCGTTCATGGACGACCCGGAATCTTCCTGTTTGATAGGGACGGTGGTGGGGGCGTTTTCCCCTTGTGGATCGAGGGGGGGAGGGGTTGTATCAGTGCCCCCCTCCTTTTTTACTACCGTGGCTGTCATGTTGTGGAATTGGTGCGAGTGGATGAATTTGGTCAGCGTCTATTCTTTCTCGAACTGTGTTTTTTTTTTTCAGTCTGCGTCGAACGCCAAACAAAACACCCCTGTGGCAATTAACGTTTGTTCTCTGGTTTCCGATTCGTAAATGAATTGACGTTTGTTCTCCTCTAGAGCGACACAATAGCTTCAATAAAAAAGACCCAGCGTGTGTCTTCTGTAAGCTTTTTCGAAGTTAAGTATGTTGTCAGAGATGAGTAAATTAACTCAATTTCATTCACCGAACATTGAGGTTCGCTGGTGGTATTGGTGGACAAGCGCGAAGTAAGTTGTTGTTTAAATGGTGCGGCGGTGACAGTGATTGTATTATGCAGCGAGATGGTTGATTCGCTGTTTTCTTAACACGATGAATTTAAAGGCTTTTGTGACTTTGACACTTCTTGTCGAAACGAAAGCTCGATGGTTGCTGCTTGCTGATAGGGTGGTAGTGAGTGAGGGATCACGAGTTGAGTCTGCAACAGGCGAAAAGGTGGTATTTTTTGTCAAAATATGGCCAAAAGGACTTTCGCAGTACTTTATTTGAAAGACGAAGAATCTGTAAGCCTCACAACAGACGACCTGCTGCAAGATTAAATCGGATTGGCAAGAGTTTACTGCCTGCCGAATTCTTTGGGTAATCGATACCTTCTCTAGCTTGAATAGATAACTTGGAACGCGCTAAAGAGGATGGAAGGATCCTGACGATGCTGCGGTAGCGTCGGACTAGCTTCTCCTCCTGTTTGTTGTTGAACGGCAGTTGCTGCTTTGGACCATACGGTATGGGAAGTGAGGCTTTCACGGTTTACCGTGTTAGAATTGTCAATCTACGAGAAAAACTCCTACATGTGATAGGTACATACTCAGTAGATACTCGTATTGTTGTCGTGAAAATTGAGACACTCAAAATGGCGCATCGAAATTCTTTGCGCATGCAACGTTGTCGCGACTCCTTCCGCTGTTTAGGACTGAACTTTGGGCGCAATGACCAATGCGTTCGACGAATCAAACTCCTGGAAAGCTTGCGCGGGGCGCACTCTGACCAATGAAAAGCATTTAAATCTCGGTCCCCTTCCCAGACTCGTACGCACGAACTTGAATTTTGTCCATCGATCGATGTTAGATCCGACGCCCTGCGCGGTCCAAGTCCAAATATAACGTTTATCTAACCATCACTGGAATATGGTAGAATTCTTTCCTCGCATTGGCCCATTCCATCATTTCAGGATTAACGTACGAGTATGACTACCGTACTGTACAAGGGTAGGTACGTACGTAACTAAATTCCGTACGATTAAAAGTAGCACGAGTACGTAGAAAAGATACCATACGCATTTTGTTCGTTAAGTGCGTACAAGTACTCGTACGTACGAAGTAGAAGTAGTACTGTTCCAGTTACCATCATCTGATGGGCAATGCACAATGCATACATCATAGCTTCATTGTAAGGTACGGTACCGTTCGTACGTATCGTCAATTATAAGTACCAGCAGTTATCATCATATGATGGTCCATGCACACATCATAGCTTCATTTTGAAATACCATACTATCGTCAATTAGAAGTACTGTACTTCTTATCTACTTCGCTGTTGACTATTTGTAAATCGGACTACCACGGTCAAATTTGGTGCAGATTGTTGCCAAACGACTCCAATGGCGTTCAGTGTGTCGGCTGGGAAAACAGTGGACAACTTGTTTGTCGCAGTGGAAGCGAAACAAGGCCCGTCACAAGAAGAAAAGTATCTTGGCAAGGGCTTGGATGGGAGTCAGAATGACACTCTGCAGACCGCTTGTCTCTATGCAAACATATCGAACGAAATTAACGTCCTGCAACGTAGTATTGAACACCGGGATGCGACGAGCAATGAATGCTAGTAGAAACAAGAAGAGAGTGCACAATCCATGTGTTCATTGCAGCAGCTGGGGGTTAGCTTACACACAACCAAAACAGTCACGTATTGAGAGAATAAGGGTCCTCAGGAGGGGTGATTCATTGCAAAGCAGTGGAACCAGACCAGTGAGCAGGTGAATGAGGAATGTTCGTTCGTTCCATACTAGCAGGGCTTGCAATTGATATTATTTTACTGCCACAGCAGATAACGATACAACCTTGTAATGAGCTGGTCTATTCAAGACAATGAACTGAAAGAAGTGGTTGAAGAAGCTGAGAAAAGATGGACTGGCTGATGCACATAGTTACTATGGTGCAAAACACAAAATGAGTGTAAAGGTGGAAAGTATTAAAAGAAATTTGAAGCAAACTCAAGAAAACAGTCTGGCTGTTTGTTGTCTTTGAGACATGAAGAATGGAATTCATTAATTTGGTGTCTGCTATGTTGGTCATTCTTGTCCATGTTGTTTTGGCATTCTTCTTACAAACAGACCAGTGGTGGAACTTTGCTCTAACTCTTGTAGTACTAAGCGCAACACAAATCCATTTGCTTGTTTAAGCCCATTTGAAATTAACACATTTTCCAAAGATTGTACCAACTAGTAGATCTCCTACTGATTACTTTACAAAACATACCTCATTTGAACCTTCTAACATCTCAAACATGGCGGTACGCCCTTCTAAAGGGGAGAATCCTACTACAATCTGTACTCCGCCACCATGCCCTTCAGAGGAGCATCCAATTGGTCTTGTTGACACCACCTCATTTCCAACTGTTACTAGTGTTGTTAACAGTTCCTTTCTCCTACTGCTGGCAATTGGAATTTCTGGTACTAGTAGTACTATGACAACTACTTTATGGCAATCATTTTCCCTTGATAGTGCTGTTTCTAAAATTTTGTGTTCAATGACAAGTACAACCCAAACCATACTAGCAGCATCTACCAAGCAGGAGGTTGCACCCATCAGTCCTAGACCTGTCCTCCCTTGAAGAACAATGCCTGGAATGTAGGCACCAGACTCTGGTTGAAGTCACCTCTCTGATATTTATTTCCATTTTGTCTAGTATGTATAAGAATGCTGTTGTTCCCAGCAGTGCTGGACAACAACAACCCAAGCCCCAACTACTAGTAGAATCGTCTTAATCTACTACTAGATCTAATAGTAGACTTCATGTAAAGAAGGTATCAGCAGCTCCCTAGTTTGATATGCTGTCTTACTCCCCTATTTTCCCCTTTATGACAGTACTTTGTTTGCTGAAGCTGTTGCAAATACCAATTCAAGAGAAAAAAGTGATGCTTTTTCCAACATTTGGTTATGATGCCAACACCCTCCAACCAAGTCTCCAGATCTTCTCCCTGAATAAAAAAGTCTGGAATATATACTCCAAAGCATGCTTGAAGTCCATTCCAAAACAGTAATTTCTAGACATACTAGTTCTTTCTGTGACACTATTGTTTCTAATATTCTTGACAGACAACAACAATCTGTGCCCCAGTCCCCAGTGGTCTCCAGTACTACCTACCATCAGCTCCAGATCTCTCCCCTGAAGAACAATGCCTGCTGGAATATATGCTCCAACAACAGCAACAGCTTCAAGACCATTCCATAGCACAACCTTTCTGGAATTCTGTTGCTCTTTTTGGCTTTTATTTTGGACAACAAGAATCTCCATCTAAAGCATGGTTCAAGGGTCAATTCCATAGCAGCATTCTTTCCCCTGGAAAAAGTAGACTGATCATATCACTTTAGATGAGCTTGTCTATGATGCCTTCTCCACAAAAATGCGTCTCAAACAGCTGCTATTACAGTAATGCTTCTTGGTGCCACTGTCATTGCCATGACAGCAACCATCAACACCACAATATCACCACAATACGACCACCACCACCATGATATGACCACCATGATATGACCAATATATGACCTACAAATGACTACCAGCATCATGTGCTAGATTTGATTCAGAATTGGCTCTTTTTTCTTTTGGCATTTTTTTGTTTTCATTTTTTCTAATTACCTCAATAATCCTACTACACTTCATGTATCTCATCTATTAGAAAAATGCTCCAAACCCTTTTAGTATGATCCCTGAGTCCAGCATCCTGTCTTCATTCTTGCCTTTTCAGTTAGCATGGACAAAGAAATGGTAACGTAATCTTGCATGCTGGGGCTTTGCAAACAAGCATCTTATCAATACTAACTAGCATGATAAATTGTCACTAGTCCCAAGAGACCACAACAGATGAACTGCTTTTTATTGCTCATGGCTGCCTTGAGATATTGTATCGTATAGGCTTGGCTACATTTTCTGGCCAATTTAATCATACAGTAATATCAAATATTCAATAACCCCTGGTATCGTATAGCGTTGGCCAGCCAATGTACGGTTTAAACCGTGGATTAGCGGCCATCTTTTTCCCGTGTAAAATACGTCGAGCGCGCCGACTGACATCACGAAATCTTGTTGGAACACACCATTTTTTCTATGGAATTTTTGTCATGATGTCTGTCGGAGTGCTTGAAATAAATTCTCGATGAACATATTTACCTACAATAACATCCAATGTTGCACCTCCAATGTTTCACCAACACTGATCCTTGATGCCGATACCAGCAAGGCAACTCCTTGTCAGTTGTTCGACACAGAGGAGTCCTCACAACCGTGTGCTGAAGCTACCATAATTCCAGTGAGAGCGCTTCTCGTTCCAACAACCGACATCTTCTTGCCCCCCCCTCCACTGACACTATCGGCATCAGTATTAAGCAACAGTATCTCCCCAGCAATAGTATCAGCAACACTATCAGCAACAGTATCAGCAACACTATCAGCAACACTATTCAGCAACACTATCAGCAACACTATTCAGCAACGCCATCGATCCAAGCAAGCCTCACACGCATCGACGATTCGATATCAGCAACGAATTGACGATATCAGCATCCTCCGTATCAGCGACTCGTATCAGCGGACACCGTATCAGCATCCTCCATATCAGCATCCTCCGTATCAGCATCCTCCGTATCAGCATCCTCCGTATCAGCATCCTCCGTATCAGCATCCTCCGTATCAGCAACACATATCAGCAAGACGTATCACCGAGCCTCCGTATCGACGATATCAGCAACGAATCGACGATATCAGCGGCTCGTATCAGCGGCTCGTATCAGCGGCTCGTAACAGCGGCTCGGT